AAAAAAAAGTCAGTCGAAAGATTTAAATTTTACATAAGCCTACTCAGTTTTGGATGCTGATTCCGAATATCATGTTAGTTTTTATCCAAATAGTACTTTTTTTGATCAAAATCAATCAATTGGTAGTGAAAAACTAGGGTGTGGGTGTGGGTGTGGATGTGCCTATTGGCTTCTCATCATCCACACCCACACCCTCTTGCAAGTCAAAATCTGTTTACTGATGTGGAAGCCTATATCGTGGGAGTATATGCATCAGACTATTCTGTTAAATCTGAGCACATCCAAGAGTCGTTATTATATTTGATTAACTCACTTTAATATGACGTTATATTGGTGAAATAAAATTAAATGTTTTTTTAGTAGTGTAGCTTTTCATAGATTGTTTTTGTGTATCCTAGTATTTATAGGCTATATTTTGCACAAGCATAAGAGGTAACAAATCGACTATACTGTGAAAATTAGATGAAGTAAACAGTGAACAATTCGTGTCGATATTTGACGATTGGTTTAATCGTTACACGAAATTAATTTATAGAATTTGTAGGTCTATGAAATTTTCTGTTCACTACTACATGTCAAAAAACTGAAACATATGAAATGAAAAGTATCGTAGTCATGAAAGAATGTTTTTGTATCATTATCGTATTAGGCATGAGGAAGAGATAACTGATCCAGAGATTGATTTGACTACTATAGGATTAGAAAAAAGAAAAAAGAATCATTCATGTCGGTATACCGATACAGTAAGGATGGCAAATAAATCAACGTTTTCAGTCTTGAAGAGATCGATTTCTATATGTCATAGCATATTGTGTTGAATGGCGCCACAGTTTCTCTTTTAATGTAGCCTTTCAACTAATGACTAATCTTTTAGTGCCATTTCAAATTTATAATTTCACTGAAAAAGAAACTAAGAAAAAGCAGTTAATAGGATTGGTATAGATAGCTTGAAGGGTGCTCACAATAACACAAAGACGTTGTTTTCATCGAATTCTAACATTTTACTAAGAGTTAAAAAAAATGTAGATACACTGAGATAACAAAAGAATCAAGTAGAAGATTCATGTTTAGTCGAAGGATTAACTGAAATGAATCGGTGATTTGCAAATAATTTTAAAAGATATGTGTTTTCTTTTATTGATTTTAGAGTGGTGATGGTCCAGATTTAATTGGACGTTTTTCCACAACAGCTAAACTTGATTTATTTAATCAAAATGATCCAAATTCAGGATCTGTATTTCAATGGTATAAATTTAAACTTGGTGAAAAACAAGCTGGAGAACTTCTAGCTGTATTTGAACTTCTTGAAATCGATCCGGTAGATTTACCTTAAAAACAAAATCATTGTCTCACAACAAAGTTTTTAAAAATTCTTTATGTTTTTGGAAATAGGAAACACGAAAAGCTGATAATGCATTTGAACTTCAAGAAATTTCAATAATACCGGAAAATTTTCCACCAACATATTATATAACTAGAACTGTGAAAAAAAAAATCTATCAAATTCCAGTATTAATGCTACCTGATTACAAAACTTATCAAATTGAAGTAATTCTAATAATTAACTTGTTATGGAAAAAGAATATTTATATGTTTTGTTTTTTTTAGGCTATGTTTTGGGGTTTACGTGAATGTCGTACGATTAATCTTCAACCTATTCAACAAGCTGAAGTAACAATTGAATGTTCAGGTGCACGTGCAACAAGATCAATAAAAAATGTACAAAAATATCCAAATTTTGAATCATCACCTACTGAAACAGACAAATATACACTTACTGTGGTATGAATATAAAATAGAAATTTAACTATGTTTTATTTATGAAAAATATGATCTTCTTTTCTTTTTCTTTTACAGCATTTACCAAATGATAATAATTTTTGGCCACATTTAAGTATACTCTGTGTACAAAATCGTCTTTTTGGAATGAAAGAAATCGTTGGCACTCTAGTTGTAACTGATTTACAAAAATATCTTGAAAAACCTATTCAACCTTTAACAGAAGTTGATCAGGCTCTTACCGATACTGTAAATGAATCATCAAAAAAAGTACCATTCAATTTTAAACGCGTACGAAGATCGGTTATTGATGCATATGAAGGTATATTTTCATGTTTTTTAATTTATATATCAATGATTGATTTCATTTTAGCTGCTCTTGCTGCGCAGAATGATAGTTTAGGAAAAACAAAATTACATGAGTTTGAAAACAATGCTGGTGGTATGGGAGATCGAACTGATAGTCTAGCACCAATTGTTGGTGCAGATTCATCGCGACAAGGAAAAAAAGTAATTAAAAAAATATATATATCTTCTTGTTATTGATAACCATTCAATTTTTAATAAAAAGCAGGAAGGTGATGAATCAGATAAAAGAAAAGATGATACAAATGAACTTGATTCAACAGCCGAAGCGTCTAGTAATAAAAAACATGAAGATCAAGGTTTAACAACGTTAGAAAAAGTAAAACGAAATGATATGGAAAAAGCAGCTGGATGGTGGCATAAATATTATGCATCAAAAGCAAAACTAGTATGGAATCATTATTTTGTTTTTTTTTTTTATTTTTATTTTTATTTTTTGTTTTTTATTATATTTTAATAGAAATTGATGCAGCGAGCTGCTATCGATGTGAATGAAGGTTTAAAAGATAGTTACGATGCTTACGCCGAATTTTTTGACGATGAAACAGGTTTCGTTGAAAGCATTTTTTTGTATTTGATTAATCTTGAACGATTATTTTCTTATAGCACTTGTTGCCAAAAGACGTTTGAAGTTTTGGAATAAAACTAAACAAATACTTCTACATGTTGGAAAAGCTCAGAAAAAAATACGAAATTTAGTCACTGAACAAATGGATCAGCTCGGAGACTCTGACAAAGTAAAATTGAAATATTTAGAAAGAATATTTCTATAATTTTGATATCATAGTCAAAATCAGCTGTTGAAGAAAGCTTAGAACTTATTGAAACTGATCGTCTTAAAGAATTAACATTATTACAAACATTTGATGTAAGATAAAAATAAATTCAATATTTATTTCTTTGTTTTTTTTCTTTTTGTTAGATATTTGAAACAGAATTAGAAAAAGTACCTGAATATGAAGGTTTTACAGATTGTCTCGATTCATTTCCTTTGTATGATTCTTTCAGAAATAATTTTATCTAAAACATTCATTTATTTATTTAGATATAAAGGTAAAGGTTCTAGTCGATCAGATGAAGTCGGTGATGAAAAACGTATTTATGTAAAGTTTAAGGTTAGTATTTTATAATATTTATTCTTCATAGAAATGTATATTATAACAATAAACTCTCGCGCATTGATTACCGATCCGATCTTGTTCTGACCCGTGTTCAAAAACTTTGGATTTGACGGATTCTAAACTAAGATGAAATGTTCTTTCTATTGTGTGAGAGACAAACTAAATTCGAGTCCTGCAACGAATTTAAAAATTGAGGAACTAGCATCTGATATTATATCATCCTTAACAGTTAGTAAAAATTCATAGTTATAGGACATTTTTTAATCATATAATCGATTAGAAGAGGTAATTCTACAATGGATTAGCAATTATCTTGTTTGATGAACTAATTGAGTTCAATTCAATAAATATCAAGTATGAATGAACGGAAAACTATCAAAAATTATCGAAATTCCGGTACTAGTGATGAATAGAGGTCAATAAGTTAAGTTCCCGTTTGAATTGGAGAAACTCAAAAAATCTAATTTTTCGAAGAGAGATGCAACAAAGTCTTCTCTTTCAAAATATCTATGGTTTATCGCCACATCAATTGATTTTGACGAACTTATCGCCTAAAACTTGGCTCCTACTACCATATTTTTTGAGAAATATTCACGATTTTTTAGGCTGTTTTCTTCTTGCATCAGCATTTTGTAAAGTTCTTTTTTATATTAATCATTACGAAACTATTAAAACTTAATATTAAGATCACATATTTATAGCCTGTCCTGAATACTAATATGTAATTCAAGTGTGTTTCGTCAAAATCGATTTCTAAAACTTTTTTAGCCTTTTTCTCAAAAGTGCAGTGCTTTTGAGCATGACGTTTATGCGGGCAGGCTTCTCTTCATAACGACTCGATGTGGAAGTGATCATTTTTGTTTTATTATATAGTAGACAGGTAGGGCTAGGTCGTCACAGATCCAGATTTTTGAATTTCTCATTTGCTGAAATAAAAATTGTAGATCTTTCGTTTTGATCAGTGAGTTTTTTTGGCGATAAATTCAAAGATCAAACCCTGTCACGATCTAGTCCTAAGGATATTCTACAGCGTAAAAACTGCTCAGACATGTTAGCTCGTATCCCTATTGTGAAAACCTTGCCCGCGTACAGAATATTTTTGACTATAACTCGTTAGTTTATTGGATCTGAACTGATCTGTTCAAACAACTTAAAGAAACGTTCCTTCTCTTATTGAAATATCGTTCCTAAAATCGAACAAAATTTTCCGGACAACTCAATTCTAGGGACTAAACTATGGAAACAAATCTTATAAATACAATACAATCTATTCGAGAAGTTTTTTTTAGATAGGATCTGATCTGTTAGTGCAGTGAGTGCTTTTGTTTGATTTGAACTTTGAACTAAAAATTGTTCAACTTCTAATTACAACTTCGTTCTTGTCTTTGCTTCTTTTTCGTATCATATTAAATAATCACTCGTCGATCATTATCTACACTCTATAAGATTAATATATATTTTTCTAAGAGAACTTATGAAATTTGCAGCAGTATGAGCAGGGATGGCCCAATAGGGGGTTGTGTGGGTTATGACAATCCCCCAATAATCGAAAATTTTCGTTGTTCCCCAGCGAAAATGAAATTTTTTTTAGTACTGTTAGAAAAAAGTTTTATTCGCATTACAAAAATCCGGAACAACCCCCCAATGTTTGCTGACTCGGGCCAACCCTGAGTATGAGTATGAAAAAAATCATTTCCTTGTAAAATTCTTCGATAAATATGATCATATACATTATAATAAAATAAGTCAAAAATCATATAGTGACCAACTCTTAATATTTCATCTAGTTATCAATATAACTGTAGCATATTCTGTTTGACCATGGGAATCTATGTTTGTCTTTTTGGTTCATTATCTATTTCTTATTAAGGGAAAATTTCGTATACGAGAAATCGAATCAAGAACTACGGAAGAAATTCGAATGAACAGAACAAATTCTATAGCTCCACTGTCATTTAATCGATCTCTTCCAAATCCTGAAATGAATCCAGTTTTTCAATCCCAAACTGGTTCAGATGAGCATACAAATCATCTAATGATTCAATTTGATTATAATAAAAATCCTATAACATTAAAATGTCGATTATATGTAATAAAAGCTCTGTTATATCGTGGTTGGGATCAATCAGGCAAAGCCGATCCATTTATAAAAATTGCATTAAACAATGACACTATAATTAGTGATATTGAAGGAAAACTTCAGAATACATTAGAACCTATGTTTGGCAGGTGAGTATGAAATAAAGCACAAAAATAAAAAAACATAAGTGTTATTAACAATAGATCATATGAATTTGAAGTTCAATTACCTCTTCAAAATTTAATACGTGTACAAATATGGGATTGGGATATGACAAGTACTAATGATATGATTGCTGAAACAAAAATAGATATTGAAAATCGTTGGTTTTCATGTCATCGAGCAACTTGTGGTTTACCACAAAGATATGATAGGTCAATTAAATAATCGATATTTAATAAATAAACATTCATTTTTTTTTCTTATATTTAGTGCGGGTTATAATACTTGGCGTGATACAAAAAAACCAACAATCATTTTAGCTGAATTATGTCGAACAACAGATATGAATCCACCCATTTATTCGGAAGATTTTCGTTCAGTAGCAATCGGTGATGAAAGTTTTGAATGTGATCGTGCATGTGTCGAATTTATAAGATATGCAAAGTCGTACGTAGAGACATTGCATCGAAAAGCTCATCATGAATCAGCCGAAGAATACATTCGACAAAATACAGCATTAGCTGCTCTACATGGATGGGGAAGCAAAATTAATCCAGTAAAGCAAAAAAAAACATTGTTTTGATTTCTTTTATTATTCAATTTTATATAGAAAGGTGTTTTGCTTACTGAACATATTGAATGTCGATCACTTTTTAATCCTGATTATCCTGAAACTGAACAAGGAAAATTAGAGATGTGGTTAGATTTCTTTCCAATGTCACGACCACCTTCAAGTGCTATGATTGATATAACACCACCTAAACCTACTCGTTATCAATTACGTGTATCTATTTGGAATACATCTGATGTAGAATTAAATGATGAAAATTTTCTTACGGGAGAGAAGACATCTGATATTTATGTTAAAGCATGGATTATAGGAGAAAAAGTTGATGCACAACAAACAGATATTCATTATCGGTATGTTTTAATCATTATAATTAAACAAGAAAAAAAAACAAAATAATTCTTTTTATTTTATTTTTTTGTTTTTGTTATAGATCATTAACAGGCGAAGGAAATTTTAATTGGCGATTTGTATTCGATTTTGACTTTTTAGATATAGAAGAAAAAGTTGTTTACGAAGCCAAAGATTCTGTATTTCAAGTTGGTAATACAACAAAAAAGATTCCACCAAGATTAATTGTTCGTGTTTATGATGCAGATTTTTTTTCATCTGATGATTTTCTTGGTTTGTTAATTGTTTATTTATGATAAAATAAATTAAAATTCTTCTAGGTGAATGTATTCTTAATCTAACACATGTACCATTCGGTGCTAAAACATCAAAAAAGTGTAAAGCTGACATTTTACTTCATCCAACAGGTAGAGCAGTTAATTTATTTGTTAGTAAACGTATTGCTGGTATGAAGATTTGATTTATGAGTTCTTTTTTTCGATTCTTTTTTTTAATATTTAGGTTGGTGGCCAATGATTGCTCCATTGAATGAGGATGAAATTCGTGACAAATCCTTATTAGGAGTAAGTCAACAAGAAAAGAAAAACTAGAATATTATTTTGTTTTTAAAGGGAAAACTTGAAACTGAAATATCACTTGTTACTGCTGAAGAAGCAGAAAAAAATCCAGTTGGAAAAGCACGTGAAGCACCACAACCACTTGATGAACCAAAGTTAGTTTTAATATTTAATTCGATACAATATATATATATTCTATTTTTATTCTAGTCGTCCAAAAACATCATTTCTTTGGTTTACATCACCTTGGAAAACATTTCGTTTTATTATATGGCGAAATTTTAAATGGGCATTTATCCTTGGAATTTTCCTCTTTATTTTTGTTATTTTTCTTTTACTTGCTATTTGGGCAATACCCGGTCAAATAGTTACACAAGTAGCCACTAAAATATTTCATAATTAA